AGACCAAGAGTCAGATACATTGTACGTTTGACATACTTCAAGCAGTGAGGAAGCAAGTCCAGAAAAGAAAAACAAAGAGAGGGAAATAATCTCAGAAACAAATCTAGAAGATTCAGACAAGGAAATCCAAATACCTAGCCCAACAAAAATGAGCACCATGACAGCAATGGATGCAAGCCAAACAGTTGGAAATCTGTCCAATATTTTCCAAGGAGTAACTGCTATGGCCCCTTCTACAACCAGTGGATCAACTGAAGGATACAATATAATAGGAACATTTGGGGATTACTTTAAGCCACATTGCTGGTCAAAGAATTGTAAAGAACTAGTTAATCATGAAGGTGAGAAGTGTAGAAGTTGTAATCAGTGTGCTCGCCACGGATGCGATGGAACAGCACCTGAAGTTAGAAAATGGTGTAGCGATTGTCGTTATAAATGTAAGGTACCTGGGTGTCATAAGAATCGAAAACCTGGGGAACATAATTGTGAAAATCATAGTAAAGAAGAACCAGCACCATGTGCATGGTCTGGATGTAAACAACCTGCAGAAACATCAAGGGATTTTTGTAAAGAATGTCAGGAGAATGTAAATAAGATGTGTGAGGTATGGCAATGTTATGAACCAAAATGTAATGAATCTGCACAATTTTGCAGAGGGTGTTGGGATAAGAAGTATGAGGAGGCAAAAAGACAGCAACAAACATCAATCAGCCAAAGTTCAAATCAAACTAAATCTAACTCGACTTCCGGATCAGGAAGTAATGAAGTGCCAGTAGTGACTATTCAAAATCAGGGCAGAAGTGGCTCTGGTACAACCACAATTGAATTAGGAAGTGATGGGAAGCCAACATATGAATGCCTTATAGATGCATGCGACAAGAGAGTAAGAACAAAGGGGGAGAAGTGTGAGGATCATAAATATTGTGAACATGTAGGATGTAAAGAAGAAGCACCATTTGCATTTAGATACTGTAAAAGGTGTCAATTATGTTGCAGAGCAGATGGATGCTTCAGTACAAGGGAATGGAAAAAGGCTTACTGCAAGAGCCATTTAACCACAAAAGCAGTGCCTTGCGCTATATTTGGCTGTAAAAGAAAAACAGGAGACCAAGCATGGGAATTTTGTAATGAATGTGTTAAGGAAATAATTAAGTTAGGAGAGAAGACAGGGTGCGACGTTTGTCAAATTCCAGATCCATCATGTTACGATTGTCAATGTGTAAGAATTCTACAAGAGTATAATGAGATAAGGAAAGAGGCTTTAAAATCCAAAAATGTAACCTTTGATACTCAGAGTTCTAGTTCAACTACAGCAGGATCAAGTACAACAGGTGGACCAAGACCTATTTTAAGAAATCACACAAACAGTATAATTAGTAGCATAAGCCCACTTACAGGAAATAACTCTAGCTTCATCAGTAATGCAAGTTCCAACTCAATTGGAACTAGTAACTTACTTGATATAAATTCAAACCCAACTCAAATTTTACCAATAAGGGCTGGAGGGGGATTTGGAGGAAACTGGAATAATCCACCACCAATTAATAATAATCCACCACCAATTAATAATAATCCACCACCAATTAATAATAATCCACCACCAATTAATAATAACCCACCACCAATTAATAATAATCTACCACCAATTAATAATAATCTACCACCAATTAATAATAATCCACCGCCAATTAACAATAACCCATCACCACCTCCACCACCAAACAATAACAATCAAGGTGGAAATAATAATAACAATAATGGGAATAACAATCCTTATGTTGTGGATGCAAGTATCCTCCTTCAAATATTGCAAGCTCAACAACAACAACAGCAGCAAAACCAAGGAGGAGGTCTGAGAGAACAAAGATTAGTGGAACTACCGACCTTTGATGGGGCTGGAGAAGACCCTTATCACTGGTGGAAATCTTTTAATGATGCATGTAATGCAAATAATATTAGCTTGGAAAGAAGACTACAAATAGTACCATCCTTTTTGAAAGGACAAGCAAATGTCTGGTGGAAGATGGCAAGTCCATTTACTACTGTGTGGGAAGTGCCACGAAATGGAGTAAATGAACATGTTAGTTTTAAGAAACAATTTTTTGATTATTTTTGCACACAATTCCATAGACAGAACTGGATGGAACAACTGAGAAGTAGAGAACAAATGGCTCATGAAGATGTTGATGCATATGCCGGAGCATTAGCTGACTTATATCAGAAAGTAGATCCATTAAATAGATATCCAGAAGAGGATAAAATGCAACAATTCTTGAAAGGACTACAACCTGCTATACGAATGATGACTGAATTGAATACTCCAAACAATTGGAATGAAGCTTGGCAACAAGCAAAGAAGGTGGAAAATGCCTTGAAAAGAGGAAGTATAGGAAACCCACTCCTACAGCCAGCAAATGTAAACCAAGCGTTAATAAACCAAATGGCAAAAATGGAAGAAACCATACAAGTACTCCATACAGAAGTAAAAGAAAATAAAGAAACTTGTACAAATTGCAACCGGAAAGGACATGTAGCCAAAAATTGCTATGCAAAAAGTATTAAATATAATGACGTACCTCAGAAACCTTGTCATAAGTGCGGAAGGAAGGGACATTGGGCTAAAGACTGTTATGCTTCAAAGCAATGCAACAATTGTAACGGCAAAGGACATCTTGCCAAAGATTGCAATAAGGAAGTAAAATGTTATGGCTGTGGAAATTTTGGACACATAGCTAAAGAATGCCAGAAGAAAAAGAAAAGTCAAGATAAAAGAAACAACAATAATTCGCAAAGTTATAATGGACGTCCTAGAAGACAAAATGCATATATATCTCAAGAAGAGGACACTCTCAGCACTCTAGCAGCAACTGTTGGAGAATTAGCCAAGAAAATCGAGAATTTAAAAGTATAAAAGTACTTCCCAAGGGGGATGGAAGTGCTAAAAATACAAATGAACACCCCCAAACAGTGCCTGATTGTGTGACTTGTGATGCGGAAATCTGGGGAACCAAAGTAAAAGCAATAGTGGATACTGGGTCCTCAGGAAGCATCATATCAAAGCAATGTTTAGACCAACTAAAAAGAAAAATAGAAGAAAGTTCAAATGTTAGTCTCATTGGAATAAATGGACAAAAACATAGACCATTAGGAATTGTACGGAATGTACATGTTACCTTAGATAATAAACACCCAATTGAAGTAACAATGCAAGTAACAGAGGCTACAAATTATGAATTAATTTTAGGAGTAGATTGGTTAAGAGCTATAAATGGAGTAATATCCATTGGGGAAAAGATTTTAACCACTACTGCCTATGGGACAACCAACAAACATCCTATAAAGGTGGAAAAGAAACCTAATATTATTGAACAACCAGGAGATGAAGAATACGAAGAAGAATCTATCCAAGAAGAAATTGCTTTCTTAAACAGAATGATAACAGACCATAAGCCAGAACAAATGATTAGAACGTTCACAAATATAGAATGGGAAGACTTAGAAGAAGAACAGAAGCCAACTATCAATAGAGAATTAACTTTAAAGCAACAACAAAGATTAGATAGATTTCTACAGAAACATGATGATATGTTCGCAGGAGGATTGTATGAATTAGGACATACCCAAGAAGAAGTTCACTCTATACCAACAAATTGCCCTTTTCCTCAAAACCAAAGAGCCTATCATTATCCACCAAAATACAATGAATTTATCAAAGAAGAAATACAGCAGATGCTTGAGCATGGAATAATAAGAGAATCAACAAGTAGTTGGGCATCACCTATAGTAGTTGTAAAGAAGAAAAATAATAAGTTAAGATTCTGTGTGGATTATAGGAAATTAAATGCCTACACAGAACAAGACAAATACCCTTTACCATTAATTGCTGATATCTTTGACTCATTAGAGGGATCCAAATATTTCTCGTCACTAGATTTAGCTAGTGGATATTGGCAAATGGAAGTAGCTGAAGAAGATAAAAAGAAGACAGCTTTCATTTCAAAACATGGATTATATGAGTTCAACAGAATGCCCTTTGGGTTAACTAATGCACCAGCTTCCTTTCAAAGATTAATGAATATGGAATAATAAGAGAATCAACAAGTAGTTGGGCATCACCTATAGTAGTTGTAAAGAAGAAAAATAATAAGTTAAGATTCTGTGTGGATTATAGGAAATTAAATGCCTACACAGAACAAGACAAATACCCTTTACCATTAATTGCTGATATCTTTGACTCATTAGAGGGATCCAAATATTTCTCGTCACTAGATTTAGCTAGTGGATATTGGCAAATGGAAGTAGCTGAAGAAGATAAAAAGAAGACAGCTTTCATTTCAAAACATGGATTATATGAGTTCAACAGAATGCCCTTTGGGTTAACTAATGCACCAGCTTCCTTTCAAAGATTAATGAATAAAGTATTATCAAAAGAAATTGGACGATTTGTTGTAGTATACCTAGATGATATAAATATATATTCAAAAAGTTTTGAAGAACATTTAGAACACTTAGAAATAGTATTTTCACGTCTTAGACAAGCTGGTTTAAAGCTTGGAAAAGACAAATGTTCATTTGCAAAAACACAATTGGAATTCCTTGGACATATAGTAGGAAGAGATGGATTACAACTTGACCCAAAGAAAGTAGAAAAAGTTTGAGATTGGCCAACACCTAAAACAGTGAAGGAAATTCACTCATTCTTAGGATTAGCCTCCTACTATAGATGTTTTATGAAGGATTTCTCAAAAATAGCCAAACCTATGTACAATTTGGTCAAAAAGGATGAAGAATTCCAATGGAAAAAAGAACAAGAGGAAGCATTCAATAAACTTAAACAATTATAATAAAAAAAATTAATTTTAAATTATATACTTTATAACAATTATGCAATATAAATAATTATAAATTTATAAATAATTAATTTGAATAAATGATTATATAAAACTTTACGAAAAATTATGAAATAAATAATTTACCTTCAATATCACTTCCATCATAAATCATTTCACCACTTTGCCTGTACATGAGACCAAGAGCAATCAAAGCTAACTGGTATGATTTGTTTGCCTTGAATTTTATGATGGCTTATAACCTTTTGTAAAACTATATTAGCACTAGTTTCTGATGCTTTTATAATTTCTTTGAAAGTTTTTCCTTGATGTTCATGGAAAGAGGTTTTACAAAGTTGTGAAGTAATTCCCACACAAGCTAAAATCATCTGAAGTGATTGTCTGTTGGTTCCTCCTACTAATCCTGCTGCTGCCACACAAGTATTAAAATTAGTTTCTGATTCATTAATAAATTCAATAACAGTTTTGCAAAGTTTGCACTTTACATGAATTTTGACAACAAATCCAGCAGTTGAAGCTTTTGTCTTTTTGTTAGGTAAATGTGATTCACCACAATAACTGCAAGATTGCTGTAAGATTAAAGATAAAAATTGCTCAGTACTGATTAGTATCGTTGAACCAAGTTTTGATTCTTCAATAATATCATTAATAGTTTTCCTTAAAAGTTCCTCTTGATTTTCATAATCACTATTGTCCTCTTCGTCCTGTTTATGCTCAAACTTATTTAACTTTTCCTTGAGACGTTTGATTTGTCGATTTGCATTGTACAACTGCTGTTTTGTCTTTTTGTATTCAATCAATAATACCATAAAATTTTTATAATCTACATTCTCCTTCTCTGTTGTGACGAGTAAACCTTCACAGACCAATGACTCTGATGAAATAGTCTCGAGTTCTTTTTGTAATTTATTACCTTTTTTTGTATGACTCCTACCATTTTTCCTGTCACTTCTTGAGCTTTGGAGGTAGGGTGGAGGCTTGGATATAAATGAGGAAACAGTATGTGTACAATTTCAGGTAATTGAGACCAAGGAGATATTTTTCCAATAACATCAATATAATTAATAAAACTTTGAAAATGATCAGGTTGTGAATTCGAAGCAACAATATTGGAGAGAAAATAATAAATTTTTTTCCTTTAATTTGATGTGTGCGCAAAATGGTGATCATTTCTAAATTTTCTAAAGAAAATTTTAATATAAAAAAGAAAACCCAATTGTACAAGGTTTTATTAAGTTAACACCAGTGAGAAAAATTGAGCGGGCGGAATGGGCGGGTATCACGTTACACGGCATTTATGTGACTAAAAATTTGTGCAGAAAAAAATCCAAAAATCTGTGTAATTAAAAATTAAAAATATCAAATCACGGCTGAAACAAAATCCCTACCTTAGCTTTGAAACAATTTCTCCCCT